CTATCTTGTGCTGCAATATAGGACGCCACTCTACTCAAGAGTCTGCGACAGATCTTCGTTGGAGTAGGGGATAGAAGTTGCCAGAGGGACAGGAAGGGGAGGGGACACCAGAGGCCTGAGGGCGAAGTGTGGGCGCTTAAGCGCGGGAAAAAACGCCGGTGTGCTGGCACAAGAGATGGGGAGCAGGGTGGACTCAAAGTCGTACACCTGGTAGTATGTGTGCAACTCTGAGTTGAACACAGGGGAGTGGTGGTGTGATGAGGAGTAAGAACTCAGCTGGAGGAGCCAGGGCTCATAACCTAAGAGATCCTGTACAGAGGACTCTCAGTCTAGTGGGAAGATCACTGACTGTATTAGGACTATACCTGTACAGAGGACTCTAAGAACCATATGAGTACAGTATAGTATGGGAATAGAAGATGAACATACCTCAGTCTAGTGGGAAGATCACTGACTGAGGAAAGGAAGGAGCGAAGCCAGCACCAGTGTTGTTATGACCCCGTCATGACCCCGAGTCATGACCGTTGACGGCACGGGTCATCGGTCATGACCGAATGGTCAAAGGTCAGCACGTGATTGCAGAACGCGGTGGCAAGGCGAGCCGCGAGTCTACTGATAAGCATGATCAGACCGGGAATTTGTAACTTCATGTAGTAGCAAGTCTATTGAAGATATGTATGAGTTTCCTATTGCACTGAGTATGGTCTATGATCACCATATGACTGAGCTAGAGTAACTCTATGTACTGCAATGAAGAGTAACTTGATGCACGTGAGCATTGCAGGGTTAAACAGACTGTGTGTTCGGAATACAAGACCTGACAGGCCAGGAGCAAACTTCGTGAAGAGGTTCTCCAGGGTATGTGAACTCTCTGCAAGCCTGACATATAGCATACTGTGACCCGAGGGATAGCTGCCTCGTCACAGTGCAGAACCTCGTGCTCCAAATTCTTCTTCTATGTTCCATAATGCAGCTGGATTCTCTAACACCACAAAAACAGAGACATTGGAGATGTATCAAAAGGGAAGGACAAGAATGAGGGCCTCTGGGTGAGGAATTGAAATGCCTGAAGGAGGGGCAAGGGCTGCAGGGCCCTGGTGGCAATGGCCGACAGCACGGGAGATTCTGATATATCCTTCCTGTCAGCCTTTTGGTTGTGCAGCGTAGATGATTGAAATCCAGATCATATGAGGATATAGCGAAGTATGATATTGAATTGCAAGGTTACATAGACCAACAATGCGCTATAGCGTGCTATACGGTGCCGAACCAGCCCCGTGCGGCAAGCTGCTCGGGGTACCGCGAACACATCATGTGCTGACCGGTGACCATCGGTCATGACCGCTTGACTTGACCGATCCCGTCATGACTTGACCAAAGGGTCATGACTTTGACTTGACCCGTAACAACACTGGCCAGCACTGTCTACAGCGCTGGCAGGTGGCAGTGCTTGTCTACTATAATAGGAAGGTAAGGTAATCTAATCTAATCTGACACGTCACCTGACCGCATTCCGACAAAGTTAACGTCGACTTTTGTACACAAGATGACATCGTCATCTGTTGACAAGTCGACGATAGTCGACGTCGACTGGATGTCTACCGGCACATCGCTGGGCTGTGATGCAGCGGAGCGCTTTGCATAGTCTCGACGTATACGCACTTTCTCTGGTGACGATTGAGTGGTATGAAGTAAAAGGACAAGATGAATACCTACCTCCCATTGTCGGGATCCATGCGCGCAGATGTTCAATGGCCGGAGTCTGTCGGACGAGATGGGAGTTGGCCAGCATTAGTAGGCGCTTGTGGTTTCCGGAAAGGGTAGGCCAGTTTCGGGCGCCGTGGCCATGCAAGACCATGGTTTGATACATTTGCTGATGCATTACGCAGGAACAAGGCCGCGCGGACATATCTGACAAGTACAGGCAGCGACGCAGGGAGACTCCCTGCCCCCTTCGAACGATTGCTCAGCGCGACAGGGCGACTGAGCGGCGTCATAGCGGCTCGTCTGAGTGCTGGTCCATGTCTCCACCACCGAAAGAAAGTGCTGTTTTATACATCAGTACCACATTGCGCTTGCTCTGACTGAAGCATATAGTGTGTGAAACCGACCAACACCATTCAAACCGAAGCGCTAGCATCTAGTAACAGATACCCTTCATACATGACCGGTCCACCCACAACTTTCCGAAGCTGCGCAAGGGATGGCGAACTGCCATCATCACGACGACTCGCGGCAAGCAAATCCCCCCGTCCGTGCCTTCATCCCAATCCCGCGCTCTTGGGAGCTCGTACTCACGGAACTCGAGCCTCTCGAGTCGAGACGCTGCTGAGGCTCCACGCTGCTCGAGGTGAGGCTGGATCAGGGAACATCTTCATCGAATATGGTCTTCCACGTCTCGAGCGCGGTACGTCGCCAAGTCACATGCCTCAGAGAGGTTCCTGGCAGGGGCATTCCCGCCGTCCACAGAGTCGGAACTTGCAGACAGTTCCCAGCCGAGCGTCATGCTCTTGAACGCCGGACACACGGTGGACGCGCCGGGCTGCGCGACGGGACGCTCAGCCAGAGCCGGAAGGACGTTGTTCGGGCCGTCCACGCCTTTCACCTCCAGGTGGGTCAACAGAGGAAGTGCGCCCAGGACGGCGACCCAATCGGTGACGGTCTGTCTCTCGACGTCGGAGCGGTCGACGACCTCGAGATGAGTGAGCTGGCTGGTGTGCAGGAAGTCTCCTAGACCGATGTGCCCCAGCTGTTGCTTAGAAGCGAGCAAGATGTGGAAATTACGGACGTTGTCCGCGAAGCAGTCCAGTTGCCAAGAGTCGTTGAACCGTGTGGATAGGCGGAGAACCGCTCTGTCGAAGGGCCGCTTCAGCACCAGCTCTGCGGGCACCATCTCGAGACAATTGAGCTCGAACGGCTTGTCGTCCTGAGTGGAATACGCGTCGATCAGGGCTGTGCTCGGGACGTGGACGGCAGTAATGGTTTGTCGCGCTGAGGAAATGCTTGCAATCCCGACGGATAATACTTTCGGCAGCGGGAGGTGGGGTCCATGACCAGCGTGGACAGTCGCGGACTATGTGTCGGCGACCGAATGTGCCAGGAGTCGCAATCTCTCGAGTCGGTTGCAGCGCGCGAGTGCTTCGAAGAGCGACTCTGCCGGTAGCGGTGCCATCGAGAGAGTTGGCAACAGCTCGACGTCCCGTAGAGAATCGGCGGCAATGAATGGAAAGTACGCGGCTGGTTCGAGA